TAATGAATTTAAGGGGCGCCTGGAGGGCTCAGTCGGTTAAGCGTCCGACTTTGGCTCAGGTCATGATCTCACAGTTCGTGGGTTCGAGCCCCGTGTCGGGCTCTGTGCTGACAGCTCAGAGCCTGGAGTCTGCTTTGGATTCTGTGTCTCCCTCACTCTTTGACCCTCCCTTGCTCATGCTGCCTCTCTCTCTCTCAGAAATAAATAAAACATTAACAAAAATTTTTTTAAAAAGTAATGAATTTAATATTGACAAATAGCTGGCAAGCTCGAACAATAGGGAAAAAAGCAAAGGCGCAAATAAACAACGCTGGCAATTAAGAAAGGTGTCTAGTTACTGAGGATATGGACGTGAGGATGATAATGTCGGGAGCGCCTGGGGGGCTCATTCGGTCAAGCTTACGACTCTTGATTTAGGCTCAGATCATGTTCTCATGGTTCATGAATTTGAGCCCCGTGTTGGGCTCTGTGCTGCCAGCATGGAGCCTGCTTGGGATTCTCTCTCTCTCTCTCTCTCTCTCTCTCTCTCTGCTCCTCCCCCACTCACTCTCTGTCTCTCAAAATAAATAAATAAACATTAGAAAAATGAAATGAGAACGCCAGTAAATTGGAAAACGGAAAATAAATGTACAAATTTCTAGAATGTATGAGGCAACAGAACTGACACCAGAAGACATAGAAAACCCGCATCCCATAGCCGTCGAGGCCACTGACTTGGAGCCCCGGGCCTGGATGGCTTTACCTTTAAATGTCACCAGACATTCAAGGGAGAAAAAAAGACCCCTTAGTTCTATATAGAATATTCTAGAATACAGGAAAACAGGGAACGCTTCCCAACGCATTCAGTGAGGCTCACGTAAATTTGATGCCCAAACCTGTTGAAGCCAGCATAAGCAAGGGAAAATGAGGTTGTGTATGTATCTTGCACATAAGCGTCAATGCAAGAATCCTGAAGAAAATACTAGCAAGCGTGTTTCCGCCACGTGTGGGAAATATCGCACAACGTGGAGGGCTGGTGGGGGCGGGGCGAGGCCGGAGATCAAACGGCCGCTGGACAATCACCTCGTGGGAGAGGACGAACACCTGGACCCAGCAGGGAGGCCGTGGGGCGCAGCAGGTGAGCGGGAAGGGGCTGCTGGGGTGATGGGGCCTCAGGGCAGCTGGACGCTGGGGGGCCAGGCCAGAGAGCACCGGGAGCAGAGTCTGGTGCAGACGTCAAGGCCTGGGTAACTGGGCTTATCTGATCCGAGGGGAGGGCAAGGGTGTGCTCAGCAGAGAGGGCCAGGGCAGCTGCGGTGGGGGGCTTCCTGGGCTGAGGGGGCGCGTTTGTGTCCGGGAGAAAGGTGTGCCTGGCCGGGGTTCTGGGATGGGAGGCTGGGGAGGGAGGGTCAGGTGGTGGGGGGCCCCTTCCCACCCACACCCTCTGAACTGGGGCCTGCAAACCCAGGCCCTCCCGGTTTTAAGCCATGAACATTTCCGGCAAACACAGAGAAGAAAGAAATCCTCGGGGCCCCAGCCCACTGTGCTCCTCATATCAGCAAAAGCAGTATGAGCTGAGCTTGCAAAATAAACAGGGCTCAACATAACAGCGTAGCAGGACCGGAGCCCGAGCTAAGAATACACACGGGGAGGAAGGCTGGAGAAGTCTTCCCCACGGGGTCCCCGGGGAGCCAAGGGGACGCCTGTCTTCTGAGCAGCCCTGGAAGGGCCAGGGGCCGGGCAGGGGCCGGGGGCCAGGCAGGGGCCGGGGGGCAGGGGCCGCGGGCCGGGCAGGGGCCGTGTTCTCAGGACTCCCGTCCCAGGGCCTGGCCAGGCCCCTCTGTCTGAGTCTGTGCCGTTCCCCAGGGCGGCTCGGCCTGTGGGCCTTGCTTGCCCTTCACTCCCCGTCCCTGCCCCCGCCTCCCCGGCCCCCCGCACCGATGCCTGGCCTCTGGTCCAACAGACGCATCATATTTTTGTGTCCACGAAGCACCTTCTGGTGTCCTCCATCTCGGCACCTCCGCTCCCCCACCCCTCCGTGCCCTCCGCTGGGTCCGGCTCTCCACCTAACCAGATGGGTGACCCTGGGCCACTGCTCAACCCCTCCGGGCCTCAGTTTCCCCCTCCTGGAAGAAAGGACTGACTTGGGCAAATACAAGTCCTTTCCAGAATACAGACAGACTGAGACAGTACAGGGCGGCAGAGGCGTGCAGAGCGGTTCACACTGCTTCCTTTCGCTATGAAAGGGAGGCCGAGGGGAGTTGTGTGGGGGGAGGCCTGTGGGGGCAGAGGCCGTGGGTGGGGATGCTCACCAGCCGCGGGCAGGATCAGGGTGCAAGGCACCCCAGGAACGGGTGGGAGGGGCGCTCTGAGTGGGGGCAAGCCTCCACTGCCGTGCTTGAGCTGGGTGAGGACCCCGGCGAGTGGCGAGGGCAGGGGCCCTTCTGTCCCACGTGGCCCCCTGGCCTGGACGTAAGGAAAGGGGGCTCTTTGCAGGGAAATCGAGTCCCCCTGGACAAGCTGAGTTAGCTTTCCCTGCAAGCGGACACACCAGACCCTGGTCCTCGGAACTGATCTGATCCTGAGAACGGTGTGGGGGCAGCTGCTATACAGCCCGGTGCCCCTCCCCCGCTTCAAGCCGCCCGCCTGGGCTGGGGGCACTGGGTTAGGGGGGGTTAGGGAAGGCCCTGGGCCGTGGCCGGCTTGCCGCCTGGCTGGCACTGCCCAGGCCTGCGGGGCCTCCGAGGGCCGGCGGCTGTTGGACTTCCTGCCCCCGCTTCCCGCCGTCAGCAGGGCTGCTCGGGTTGCTTATGGTCCCGATGGGCCCAGTGATAACTGATAACATGGGGCCCGGGACGTGCCGCTGTGCCCTCTGGACCTGGCGAGGCCCTTTCCCAGGGCCTGTCCCCAAGGGGGCAGGGCTGGGCAGGGGAGGGCGGGGAGGCCGAGCGGTGGCTTGCAGAGCCTTGAGGGAGCCAGTGGGGGCTGACGTGGGGCCAGGAGCACGGGCCTGCTCAGTGCCTCGGAGACCCGAGCAGATGGGTCCCCCTCTCCGCCCGAGCCAGTTCCCCACGGCACAGAACCGGTCTCCCTAATGTCCCGGAGTCCCTACTGCCCAGCCACAGCCCCTCTCCTGGGTGCCGAGGCCACTGGGTGTCTTGTTCTCAAACCTCGTCCCCAGGGATCAGGGACTCCGGAAAACACTTCCCTTTGGTGCTCAGATCTGAAGAAATGTGGGCATGTAATTCCGTATCCCCAAGGCCAGCGCTGGCCCCACCTCGGCCCACCGCACTGACCTTGGCCACCCAAGATTCCGCGTCCCGGTTCTCAGACCCCCGCGGGCCACTGGATGTGGTGACCCCAGGCTGGGGAGGGGGCCCTGTCTCCTGCCACGGTCACCCCCCAGGGACAGCAGGCTCTCGTCTGAGTTTAGAGGGGTGGCCTGTCTTGAGAAGTGCGGGCAGAGCTGTAAGAAAGTCCCAGGACGGCAGGGCAGGGGGCCAAGGAGAGAGGCAAGCGCATCTGGAAGCTGGCGGAACAGAGGCCACGCCCCGGGCCGCAGGGGGGCAGGAGGGCTCGTGCACCCCGGCCGCCACGAGTCCTGCCAGCAGTGCGGGCCAGGGTGGAGGGCTGGTGCGGAGGGGGAGGAGGGGGCCTGGGTCTATTCGCCGCTCCAGCTCCGCTCCCTGGATGTCTAGAGCTCCCCTGCAGGTGCCTGGCCGGCTGTGCCGAGTGTGGCCACCAGCTGCTTCTAGAAGGGAGCGCCAGCTCCGAGCCCCCGGCCCCGCGCACAAAGAAGAGCGAGTGCCGAGGATATACCTGCTCACTGCAGCGGCGGAGCCCAGGCTCCCTGGGCCTCTGACACCCGCCGCCTGTTGGCCTGGTGATGTGACCTCCCCTGGTCCCTCCTGCTGGGCAGGGGCATCTACCACCGGGCCATCTGCGAGAACAGGCCAGGTGCCAGCCCACCGCCAGCCCGTGGGCCCTCCGGCAGGGGCAGGCTGGTCAGCTGGCCAGGCCCGAAGCGAGGGCCTCCATGGGCACCTGGACGGCGCCCCCCGGCCCCGCCCGGTCCCACACTGCGTCGCGGCCCCGCTGCCAGCCGGGGCCAGGGGCAGATGGCGCAGGTGGGGAGACGGCGGCGCTGCGGACCGGCGCCCCTGCCCGCCCCCTCAGCTGCAGCGGGGATGGAAACGGGCCAGAGCCCAGCGTTGCCGGGGAAACCGAGCAGCAGAACAGACCCTGCCCAACCGAAATTCCTCTATTTTTAGCCTCCCAGCTACTTTCAGATAAAGCCCGAGTAGACGGACTAGCTGTGGGGCGAGATAACGGCGTGCTCCAGACCACAGAGGCTTCAGGGGGCGGGCCTGAGCCCGAGGAAGGCCCTCCCACTCCTCAGGGCCCCCCTCGGCCCCCAGGACACCCTGGGGAGAGGCTCCCGGGCTGAGAGGCCCACAGGCCTGCTGGGGGTGGGGGCATCCTGGGGACCATGGGGCCCATGCCTGGGGCAGAGGGCGCACGGGTTTGCGGCACGGAATCGGGGCCCCAGGCTGCTGTCCCACCTGGATGCCCAGCAGGGCCTTGGCCGGCACCGCCACCATCTCGGTCACAACCCTACAGCGGGGGTCCCTGAGCACGCAGTCCCTCCCCCCGTCCACGCACGATGACGCACCTTTGTGCCACAGTCAGCACCCCTGACGTTCCCAAGTGCACGCGGGCGGGCGGAGACGGCACTGCCCGGGGCCCGTGGCCACTGGTCAGTAAAGATGCCACTTGGCCAGAGGGCTCCGGACTGGGTCCCAGGGGTCCGACGCCCAGCTGCCTCCGGGGGAGTGCACGTGAGCCCGATCTCGGGGAGCTCCCGGTGCCGCGGGGACCGCAGGGAGCACAGGACGGGGAGGTGGGGAGGCCCGCAGACCCCCAGCGCCACTGGGGTGCCGCATGCCAGCTCAGGACGGATGCCGGTGCCGGCCCCAGGGCGGTGGCCATCAGGGCCAACGTGGGCCGGGCCTCACGCCTACCTTGTCTTCCACCCGGTTGAGGCGGGCCCCGATCGTGTTGCTGCCTCGGTCCTTGCTCTTCTCTGTGGGGCAGAGCACAGGGTCAGGGTGTGTGCTGGCGTCGGGGCAGGGCCTGCAGAGCAGGGGGGCGAGGGCGCGGTGCCCGCGCCTGCGAGGACGTCTCCGTGGGAGCCGCAGAGGGCTGGGCCGGGCAGGGAGGCCCGTGGCCCGCCACCTCGTAGGGTCTACGCCCACCCAGGCACCCCCACCTCTCGGTCACCCTCGCCATATTTCAAACTTTTTCATTATTCTTAACATCCGTTTTGGTTGTGGTGATCTGTCATCAGTGAGGGACTCGCCGAGAGCCCAGAGGACAGTCCGCCCTCACTGGCAACAGAGTTCTTTGAGTTAAGGCAGCACACTGGTCTCCAGACAGATCTGCACACAGTAGGGCTACAATGTGGTGTGAACGTGACTTCCACGTGCGCCAGAAAACCCTAAAATCCTTTGGACTCGCTTCAGTGCTGTATTTGCTTTTGTGTGGTGGCCGGGCCCCAACCGGTACCTTCTGTGCCCCCGCCCCGGGCCGCAGCCGCCTCGTCCAGACTGAGGGCCTAGAAGGGCCTGCCATTGGAAGGGATCCACGTGGTTTCCTGCACTAACTGGAAAGTCCTTGGTAGAGCGCGTAGGGGGCACCTGGCTCCGGGTCGGGTCCCCCGGGTCCCTGTGCTGAGTGTCCCGTACCTCGAGGCCCTGGTGGCCCGTTCTGGTGGGGAGAGGCAGTGAGGGCGTGGCCACCCCGCCCAGGGTGTCTGGATGCGGAAACCCACCTGAGACAGAGATGAAGAGGGAGGGCTTCCCGATGGACTGGTCCAGCCTGAGGGGGGGCAGACAGACATCAGCTCACGCTCCGCCTGGGCATCACAGGTGCACTCACCGCCCACCCCTCCTGGGGGCACCCGCAAACCTGCCGGGGGCTTTCCAGGCCCCAGAGGCTGTCCTACTATGGGGGGTGCGGGTAGGGGCTCAGAGGTGGGGACAGGGGCGGGGCAGTCCCTTAGATGCACTCCCCGGGCAGCCACGCTCAGAGGGGCCGTCCTGTGAGCAGGCCCTTCCAGAGGGAGGCCAGGCTGCCCGGACCCCTCCAGCGTGTTAGCCATGGTGCTGGGTGGGGGGAGAGGAGGAGGCATGTGGGGTGGGTGGGGGGGTGGGGCGGGCTGCCCAGGGTCCCCAGGCCGGCGCCGTGGGGGCTGTGGAGCTGGGGCACCAGGCTGGTGCGGGAGGGGACCCTGCCCCCCCGCCCTGTCCTGCGAGCTCAGCAGCAGCCCACCCGCCCGCCATCCGCCCACCTTCTCTGCAGCTCTTTGATGCGCACCATGAGGTTGAGGTGCCCCTGGGAGTACTGCTCGATGACATCCCGCACGTCGTAGGGCTTCCGAGCTTGCTGCGGGCAGAGAGACGGTCACCCCGGGGCCCGCACTCAGCGCACTGGGAGGCCGCTTGCCTCTAGGGGCCTCTTGAGGGTGTGAGGAGGTTGCCATTGGGGTGTGACAGGCCAGCGCTGGCCCAGCGCCATGCCCAGAGGCTTGGCCACTCCCGTCTCGGTTGCCAGGGCCGGGTGATCCTGGGCCGGCTGCTTGGCCTCTCTGGGCCTTAGCTTTCCACCCATTCACCACAGGGGCCTCTGCTCTCCCTTTCCAGGTCACCAGCCCCTGTTCTCAGAAAGAGCTGGTCCAGCTGATGGGCTGGGAGGGACATGGCTCTGGGCAGCCACTGTCTCCCAAGGCCCTGAGCTGAGCCTGGACACTTGCCAACAGGTGCGCCCACGTCCCCAGGTGAGGGAGTGGCCCACCCTGCCCTCTTCCCAGGTAGTCTCCACAGGCAGGTGGGGGTGGCTTCAGGTCACAGCCTCAGCCTGCCGCTCCTGCTCTCTGGGACAGGCTGCCTGCCGGGGCTCTGAGGCCACAGGGCGGAGGCGGTGCCCGCACGGCAGGCCTGGGGCCGCGCAGGGCGGAGGGGGTGCCCGCACGGCTGCCCTGGGGCCGCGCAGGGCGGAGGGGGTGCCCGCACGGCAGGCCTGGGGCTGCATAGGGCAGGGCAGCCGACCCCGAGGCCCCCCCTGGTGGGGCACCAGCTCTGAGCTCATAAATGCACTCGGAGTTCAGGTGAAGTTACCAGAAACCACAACAGAGAACGAGGCTTCTTGCGATGCCAGCGGAACCTCAAGCCACGTCTATGGCCCTGTTCCCAGGAGCCTGTGGGCCAGGGTCCCCCCAGGAAGCAGCAGGCCGGCTGGAGGGGGTTCGATGGCCCTGAAGGCCCCTCACCCACACAAGCCAGCAGGAGCCGCATGGGGACACAGAAGCCTCTACCCAAGGGGCGGCGGGGATACCAGGTCGGCTTGGGCCCAGGGTCTTCATTAGCACTGAAGCGTCCGTGTTAGCTCACCCCGTGAGTTTGGGGGTGCTGCCTCTTGCTGAGGGGGGCACAGGCCTGGGTGGCAAACCGAACAGCTCGGTGCAGCAGGCCTGCCCGGGTCAGAGGCCAAGAAGGGATGGGGCTGAGGTGCCCCACCTGGTGTCAGGGCCGGCTCCCAGCCTGGGGGCCCCTGGGGACGTGTACCCCCTGCCTACCTGAGGCCTCCCCTCCTTGGGGTGTCTCCCCCCAAGACTGGGGCCGCCTAGTCTGAGGGTGTGGCTACCCCTACTTTCCCAGAAGGACGGGGCCGCCCCGACGTGCCCGGGGGCCGGTGCTCCACACGGGCAACTTGGCAGTGTCCCTGCAACCAGCCTTCACCCTCCCAGGGACGGGACTCCAGGGGCCCAGGGGGTTCCTATGCCCCACCATGATCTACCACGTGGGGCCCTCATAGCGTCCCTGAATCAGGACACTCAGATGGGGGGGTGGGATTGCCCTGATCATCCCCAAACCATAGCTGTGTCCCCAACAGGACTTGCCACCCTTGGGGCCCCTGCTGGGCCCCAGGACCACCTGCATCAGCCTGTGGGCACGTGCCAGGCCTGTCATGAGACCGAAGGGTCGGGCCCAGGATGTGACCAGAGCCTCCCCACGCTGAGCTGAGTGACGGTCGTAAAAACAGCACTTGGGTACAGGCTCTTGCTCATGTCCCCAGATCTCGGTTTTTCCTTCTGTAAAATGGGGGATGCTGACTCCCGACCGTCCCTCCTGCAAGATGGGAATGTTGGTATCGGCTTCTCCCTCTGGGAGAGCCTGAGCTCTCGGTGCGCACGGAAGGCGGCCCGGAGTCAGGACGGCCTGCTGTGGGCCAAGGGGTTTTGCGAAGCCTGTAGCCCTTGCGGGCAGGCTGTGAGGTTGGGGCAGGCTGGGGCCCTGGCCGGCCTCAGGGTTCAAGGTGGTGCGGGCCTGAGCCCCTCCCCGTGCTGGGCTGCCGGATAGGCGGGAGGTCGTGGACGGTGGCCTGTAGGTGAACCTGGGCACCTGAGTGGGTGTGGACCTTCGGTGTGCACTAAGGTGCCTCTGGGCAGGCGTGAGAGTGCAAGAGTGAGTGCAGGGGTGTCTGCGTCTGTGGGGGGGGGGTGTCTGGGCATGGCTCTGGGGAAAGGCTGCTGAGCAGCCCCCCCCCGCCCCCAACCTCACCTTGCTCGGCGCGTAGACCACAGAAGGGCCAGTGACGCCCGGCTGAGACCCAGGACACGTGGCCCCGCGGGGCCCCAGGCCCTCCCTCCAAGATTTAACCGAGTACAGAGGAGCCCCCCGGGGTCTGGTCCACTCCTACAGGCCTCTGTCAAGGGGCTGCCTGGGGCCGGGCTGGAGGAATCATCTCAGCTTTCTCTCCAGAGCTAATTTCCTCCGGCGGCAGTGGCCAGAGCCTGAGATGAGCCGAGGTAATGCAGGGCCGCCCAGACCACCGGCGGTGGACACGGAGTTCAAGGCAAACTCGAAGGCCTGAGAGGCTCTGGCTCCTCTGGCCAGACCCAGGGCGGCCCACCGGGCACTTATCGGCGAGCCAGCGAGGTGGGCCGGGGGCCACCAGCCACGTCTGTGGCCCATGGCACGCTGAATGTCACTCCCATCGTCTGTCAGTCATCTAGGGGAGGGCGGGCTGTGCATCCGGCTCTGGGCTGGACCTCAGGGCAGGGTCCTGCCAGGGGCTTGCCGTCTTAGGGATGGGTAACGATGCTGTTTCAGGGTGTCTGATGGGTGAAGGGTCAGTCAGGCCTAGGGGGTGGCGGGCTGTGGAGGCCTTGTAGCCTTGGCCGGGGGTGGGCGAGGGGCTTCTGGGGCTGGCCAAGGGCAGGGGGGCTCAGTGCAGGCCTCACCTGGAATTTCTTCTTGGCCACAAAGTACTGCATGCGCCGAATGACCTTGATGGTGGCCCGATGGTGCTCCCGCAGCCTGTGGCAGAGGAAGGAGAGGAGGCATGAGCGGTCCCCACCCCGTGACGGTCATCCCGTGCCCGGCACCCTCAGAGGCTTGGCGCCTTCCCAAGTGCCTCCTGCTGTGTGTGGGCGGGGCCCTTCCAGAAACACAGAGGAGGTTCAACCCCAAGGGATGGAGGGCTTCAAGGCTACATTCAGTAAGGGAGGAGGGCAGGCCACAGGCAAGGAGCTTTTGACGAGCAGGATGATCCCAGGGGGACCTTGCCTTGTCTGTGGCCTGGGAACAGAGCGGGAGTCAGGGTCCTGGGTTCACACGGGCTGGGCCCCTAACTCACAGCAGAATCACAGAAGCTTCTTTCCACCCCTGGGCCTTCAGGCTCCTCACCAGTATAATGGGGAGGGAGTACCAACAGAGGGTGCCCAAAGGCCCATTCGGCTGGAATATTCCATGTTGCCACACCTGCGCACGCACCTGGAAGATGTAAGGGCTGCAGGATTAGCCGGCCAGAGACGGTCACGGCCTGAGCCACGGTGTCAGGGTTGTATTGTCTCCTTGCTAAAGTCCCTAAGAAACAAAGAACCTTCCAGAAACACGGCTGACGATGTGCACAGAGAGGCGTCTAAGAGGAGATACACCCGCATGGAAGAAGGGAGGCTCCGGTCACGCAGCCTGCACGTGAGCCAGCCTCTGCCGGCAACACGCGGGAGAGGAAGGAGGGAACGCCAGCGCGGCGGGGCGACGGCTTTGGGGCGACGCAGCGACGCGAGGGGCTGAGATCCCGGAAGAGAGACTGGCCAGTCGGGCCGTGTGTGCGGTGGCACGCCCTCTTCCTCTGAGCACTCCTGCGTGTAGCGCAGAGTCAGGGCTCGTCGGGCTGGGGAGGCAGACAGGGAAGTCCAGGGCCACAAAGACATCCAGGAATTGAGGGGACAGGAGCCCCTGAGCCGTGAGCCCCCTTCACGTGATGTCCCCTTGAATCCTTTGTGATTAAGCTGCACAGGCGTCGGGTAAGATTCGACGAGGGTAAAACGCTGAGCAGATGACTTGTGACTCATGTCACTGGTGAGAGGAGCATGAGTTCAGGGTCTGCCAAGGACATGGGGCCCTGGGGACACCCCAGGCTTTCAGCTGAGACCCCTATAGCCTCAAGTCGCTTCCACCTCTTCCTGGAGGAAAGTGCCCTGCTCTGTGCCTCATCCGCACCAGAGGAAGACCAAATTATCTGCAGGGAGATAATGTCACGGAGCCTTTACACAGTTTCTCACACTCAGAAGACTGGAAACCAAAGGATAAAACAGACTCCAGAAACAGCTCTAGAGATGTGGCAGATTTCGATGCCTTAAATACACGGAGCTCCTCCATCAAGAGACAGCGCTGCTTTTCCCACCGCGGATCTGGGTGAGCCTGGCGCTTGCTCTGACAAAGAGTGTTGGGAGGTCACACCGTGGGCAGCTGACGTGCTCCTGGGGTGTGGCCGTGGGGCCGTGGGGCCGGAGGGGCCGCGCGGAGGGGAGCGGAGGCGCCCCAGCCCAGAGCCAGCATCGGGCAACAGACGGCCCCGACCCACCAGCGTGGAAAGCCGCCGGAAGGCCGCAGCTGCGCCAACACGTACACGAAGCCAGCGGACCCCAAGCTGCTGAGCCACAGAGTTGTGAGCAAGAAAGCGGGTTGTGGTCTTTTTGTAATTTTAATTTTGTATTTATTTTACTTATTTATTATTTTGAGAGACAGAGAGAGAGACAGAGCGAGCAAGTGTGCACAAGCGGGCTGGGGGGATGGAGGGAGAGAGAATCCCAAGCAGGCTCCACGCTCTGTGCAGGGCCCGACGCGGGGCTGGATCCCACGACCCTGGGATCATGACCTGAGCTGAAATCAAGAGCCAGACGCTCTGCCAGCTGAGCTCCCCGGGCTCCCCAAGACCCTCAAACACGTGGTGCTGGCTTGGGGACCAGACACTGGATGCAGGCAAGGACACGACGGCAGATGCTAAGATGCCAGGCCTAGACCTGATGCCGCCGCGGATCAGATGAGACTCTGACGTGTCCTGCAGGGGTGAGTGAACCTTGTGCTGGAGGAATGTAAAGATATGGCCTGAGGACAGCCTGGTGTGGACTGGAAACAGGGAGAGACCTTGCCGTTCTCCCAGGCAAGACGGGAGGTCTCCCACAGCGGACGCGGACCGGGAGTCTGAGCCGTGATCTCGAGACCTCGCAGCTGCCACTGTCATCCCATCAGAAGGCTGCTGCCCCACGGACGGGTCAGCAGCCTCGCTCAGAGGGGAACCACCCGGGCTGACGGCTGGGCAGCTCCACACGCGTGCGGCTGCGGAGACCACCCAGTCCCGCCCAGCTGTGCTTGCGTGAGCCCAGGGGAGACGCCCCCGGGTGAGCAGCCCGAAATGCTGACGCACAGACGCACGCGCAAACAGACTCCTCTGGTTTGCTTCGGAGCTCTTAGATACAGACTTTAAAGTAACCACGGTAGAGGCACCCGGGGGGCTCAGTCGGTTAAGTGTCTGACTCCGGTCTTGGTTCAGGTCATGATCTCACCATTTGTGGGATCGAGCCCGGAGTCAGGCTCTGCGCTGCCAGTGAGGAGACTGCATGGGGTTCTCTCTCTCCTCCTCTCTCTGCCCCTCCCCTGCTTGTACACACATGCACGCACTCTGTCTCTCTCTCAAAATAAAGAAAGAAACTTAAAAAAAAAAAAAAGTAACCATGACTCACGGGTTCAAGAAGATAGATGGAGAATTTCACCAGAGAAATAAAATCTGCACTAAAAGTAATACAACGGAAATTCTAGAACAGACAGCACAATGATGGAAAGGAAGAGTGCGACAGATGAGCCTATAATGGGGGGTCGTGCGAGAACCGGAGGGGGGACGGCAGGTGGGAGCTTGGAGACACAACAGAATTAAACACACACACACAAATTACCACAAGGCACATATAGTTAAAAGTCCTTATACACATGGAATCCCAGGAGGAGAGGAGACAAGTGGAGACTCAGTGGCTGAGAATTTTCCAGAAACGATGGAACACATCAGTCCGCAGATTCAGACAGCTCCTTAGATCCCTGGGCTTATCAGAGTAATGTTGCCGAGACGCAGGAGCAGTGACGGAGGGAATGGGGACGGTGACGTGTTATCCTGATGACTGGCTTTTCAACAGAAAGGATGAAAGTCAGTTGACATCTTTAAGGTGCTCAAGGAAGCATTCTAGACCCGTCAAATAGGCCCTTAAAAATGAAGACGAGGGGCTTAGTCGGTTGAGCGTCTGACTTTCGCTTGGGTCATGATCTTGCGGTTCGTGGGTTTGAGCCCCGCGTCANATGGGGGAACTTCAGTTGATAAAAGACATCTATTTTCCCCCCTCTTTTCCCTTTGGCTCTTTGGAAATTTAATCATGCAAACTCATTCAGCACCTACTTGGTTCAGGCCCCGTGGTAAGCAAGTGGAACTCACAGGTAATTTAGCGTCTGATCAGAGAAAGGACATAAAACAGAAAATGGAGGGGCGCCTGGGTGGCTTAGTCGGTTAAGCGTCCGACTTTCGCTTAGGTCATGATCTCGCGGTTCGTGGGTTCAGGCCCCGCGTCGGGCTCTGTGCTGACTGCCAGCTTGGAGCCTGGAGCCTGTTTCAGTCTGCGACTCCCTCTCTCTCTGACCCTCCCCTGCTCACGCTGTCTCTCTCTCTCTCTCTCCTAGAAATAAATAAAACTTCAAAAAAAAATTAAAAAAAAATGAAGACGAAAGTTGGGGTGCCTGGGTGTTAAGTGTCCAATTTTGGCTCAGGTCATGAGCTCACGGCTCGTGGGTTTGAGCTTCGCGTCGGGCTCTGTGCTGACAGCTCTGAGTCTGGAGCTGCTTTGGCTTCTATTTCCTTCTCTCTCTGCCCCTCCCCTCTCACATTTTGTCTGTCTGTCTCTCTCTTAAAAATAAACATTCTAAAAAATTAAAAATATATGAAGATAAAAGTAAAGTAAGTGTAGGATTCTACTCAGAGAGGTCCCTAGGGGAGTCAGATTCATAGAGCAGGATGGTGGAATCCAGGTGCTGCAGGAGATGGATGGACAGTTAGTGTTTAATGGGGGTAGAGTTTCCGTTTCACACGATGAAAAAGTCCTAGAGACGGATGGTGGGGGCGGCTGCATGACATGTGAATGCGCTCAGTGCCCCTCAGCTGTACACAAAAATGGATAAGATGCCACATTGTTATGTTATGTATATTTTACTACCAAAAAGAAAAAGAAAAAAGAAACCAAAACCAAAACCAAAACCAAGAGAATTCACTGCTAGGAGACCCACACTGGAAGAATGACTTGGGGGACTCCCTGGGCAGAGCAAACTGATCCCAGGAGGAGGCACGGGAATACAGAAAAGAATTAAGGACACCAAAAAGGGCAGATTTATGAGAAAGTTTAAATTTGTATTCACTTAAATAGTAATGCTTCATGAAGTTTAAAATTTTTTTTTATGTTTTATTTCCGAGAGAGAGAGACAGCATGAGCAGGGGAGGGTCAGAGAGAGAGGGGGACACAGAATCTGAAGCAGCTCCAGGCTCTGAGCTGTCAGCACAGAGCCCGACACGGGGCTCGAACCCACAAACTGTGAGATCATGACCTGAGCCGAAGTTGGATGCTCAACCGGCTATGCCACCCAGGTGCCCCTAAACATCACTTGAGACAAAGAGGGATATTTCATAATTCAAAAAAAAGGTCAATTTGATAGAGAGATATCAATCCTAAAACTGCATGCACTTAAAAATGGTATACACACATGTATCTGTATATGCATAGCTGAAATGCATGATAAAAATAGCATAAAAGGCAGAGGGTATTAATGGAGTCACACAGTTGTGAGCACCTTGTGCTGTCAGGGAAATGGTAAAAGTGCTAATCTGAGGTCAACCCTAATGAGTCAAGATGTCAACCACTTATGGAATAATGAAAGTATGTAAATGCAACAAGCTAACAGAGAATAAAAATTAAATAGTATCAATATTTGATTAATTCAGA